GCTTGCAGTTCTTACGATTGGTTTGGCCTTCTTCTGTCCTTTGCTCACATAAAAGCGTTAGACTTTGTAGGCCGCGGGGAGGTCTAGATGCCTGTTAACAGAGTTAGCATCTGAGTACCATGCCCTGAGTGTCAGGCCTTCATTCAGGAACTGTGTTACGTGTTAGTTAAGAAGCCAACAATATTGTGCGCTCAGTTATATCAGTGGGTTTATTCTCATTAGAGCAAGATTCAGTTTCAAGGGGGTTTGTGACACAAGACTGCACTGGGATGGTTGTGCGGTTGCAGTGGCCGCTTAGAAGGCTCAAAGCAGTAGACATACGTAGACATGGACCGGTAAATAACTAATTAACATCCGTCAGCCTGTTTCAAAGAAACTATTACTTCGAATTCTACGGCTAGCACAACGGAATATGACACTTGGACCACAGATTGTTTGCACCACAACTTGCCAAATTTTCCGAATCTCAATTGCAGTATACGAGTTATTAAATAACTGAGGTTTATAATGACCAAAAATGCTCGACTTGTACCCCAGTTGTAGTCTCTGAGCACAAATGCGGGCCTGGGTGCTGTGGAATTTGTCTAAAAATGCACATGCCGTCTGGCCGAAGTTAAAGCATAGTGTTAGTTGCTTCGAATTGTGTGCCACAGCTATGGTCACTGCCAACCTCTTGACTAACAAGGTCTCTAATTGCGGAAGTAGTTTTTACTAGATGACAATTAGCTGGTTTTTAAAAGATTAGGGCAAAATTAAGCCTTGGGTTTCGTAGACGCTCTTGCTATGTTCCGGCATTGATGTAATAGATTATGTAGATTCTGTGAGCTTTTCAATAACAGTAGGTCTATTGACGGGAAGAGTGTAAAATGAAATGAAGCTTCAACCAACAAAGGATAACCTAGGCCAGCCTTAAAAAGAGAAGACGGAGGCGGCGAAGGCAAAATCCTACCTTAAGTTGAAAATAAATAGTTTTGTAAATTACTCTGTTCGTTAAGTTGAGGAAACTAAAAGGTACTGGAAACTGTCCCGATAGCAAAATAGTGGTGATCGCACTTAATCAGTAATGTTGCCAGAATTTTTTAACTATTCGAGCTCTGCTCAATTTCGACGGAATGTTATATCTGAGAGATTGAATCTTCCAATCTTTATTGTGAAAATATTATTTATACGGTTAAGCCTATACTATTTACCTTCGTTGCGTACCCTTAGTTAGATAGAAAAGTTTCGATTTGATAAGAAAGTCATTTCTCCTTAAACTGCTAGGGCTATCCTCTAAAAAGGCAAATTATCCGCTGCAGTACACAGTTGCTGTTTTTTGAATGAAATGACGAAATTCACCAAGCTTAACGATGAACAAACTGCGAATGTGCACCCGGAACAGAAATATAGTCCTTCTTAAAGTATGAAATTTTAAGAAGGCGTAATCAGGTAACAAGCGACTACGAGAAAGTATACGTTTGTACATGGTTTATCTGAAATATATTTGGATTTATTAGGGCAGCGAAAATCAATGATAACATGACATGCTACTTAAGTAACCATGTTGTACAGAGTATACGCTTTGCAGCTGGCATAAAAGAAGGTCATGAGTTAGGAAATTTACTGAAGCATATCAGAGCATGCCGTGTCATTCATTCCGTATAAGTGCATTTTCTGCCAGTAGGAAATTAGATTTTTCGGAATCATTCATATTGATTTCTCGCTTTAAGAGCTGTTGCGGTTTCTCCTAATGCGTAATTTGATTGCGACTGTTTCAGAAAGCCCCATCTTTTCGTAGAAAGTAGATTTCAAATTTACTTGCCCTGACATGCACGACCAACTTGCTCAGCAAATAAAAAACAAATACGGAGATTAAGGGTGCATGGCTGTCGATATTTAAAATGTCTTTCCTCAGGCAAGAGCAAATTCGCGTAACCATTCGGCATCCGAAGATAACTTCAGCGTTTTATGCGTCTCATGAGCATTCTGAAAAAGCACTTACCTAAATTGCTTATGATACATATGCAAATAATAGTCATAATTTCAATTTAAACTATTGAGTACACTCTGATACTTGCTTGTGATTTTTTACTAAGGGGGCTATCCTTGAAATTTATCTTGATTATTAATTGAACAGGAAAAAGCCTACATAAGATACTGAAAAAGCCTACATAAGATACTGAAAACAGGTCATTTCAAAACATATAGGCAGCTGACTAAACTTATCATAATGAATCAGGGTTTCGCGGGTGTGAATTCCGTATAGGTTCGTAACATGCCATATCTTGAACTTTAAATATGAGCAGTTGCATTTATCTGAATCCTGGTTTTAATTTCCCTATACCTTCAAGATTTCAGAGGCAAAACTTTATTTTCCCTATTTTCCCTTTAACGTTGTCGCATTTGGGCACGTTCTTTACAATAAACACATCCTCTTAGCGTTACTTATCACACTACTTTGTCACATTACTGAAAAGTTAATTCTAAAGGGATGTCCAAACTAGAGGAAGCGGTCAGCCTAAAAATGCCTAATCAATCCAAGTTTTCTTTTTGTTATCTTAGTGTGTTTTACTTAGAAAATATTTAAGTCCCTTGTGAACACGAACCAAATTGCATATCCCACTCCGATGGGGTATAGTTTGCGCTATTCAGCTAAACATGGCACTGACAATCGAAAACAGCTATAATATTCTGTGATTATCGCTATGGTATTTCTAATATTTATTTCAAAAAACAGTTTGCTCATGCTTCTGTATTGGGCTTTAATGGGTTTAAATTATGTTAGTCGGAAATGAGGCCCAGGTTTTAACAAATTAATTTAAAATGTCAACTGTTATTTTCAGACCTTATTCCGTCTGCCTGCCCGCAATACGGTAGAGGAAAAACCGTATTTATGCTTCAACGTTGCATGACGGTATGAATATATATGCGAATAGCTAACCGAAAATGTGAAGTATGCGTTGCAGTAGAACTTTTAAAGTAGCGGGGCCATTACACAATAACTTCTAATCGTTATACCCAAAGTCGCAAGTCGACTTTTTAGCGATAATAAAATTGATCATTATGGCGAAAATAATACAAGCTCGTTAGTTTATATAGTAATTACTTGTTGAAAAACGTGAAGTTAAATTGCTTCTTCGGGAAAACTTAGGCATGCCGCAAATAACCCGGGAGTGGGTTATAGGTATTAACTTACCAAAAACAAATTACTAATAAATGTAATGATGAGAATGAAATGTTGTCATGGTAGAACGCCCGGATTCTACTGTAGTTTTTTCATCTCAGATGGTTTGCCAAAGGCAGAGCATATTCTAATTTGCTCGTGCATTCCCGCATTAAAACAATAAGTGGACAAGGCATATCAACCAGGTCATCGTACTTTAAAAAGGTGGCCTCAATGCAAAATACATCTACTTCTGCCAAGCCGTCCTCTAAAATTTATAGAATTTCATTAGATCAAGCTGCATGGAATACTCTTTGAGAATTTCAACCGCTGTTTCAAATATAAAGACTATTGCCAACAGAGTTGAATGTGCCAGTGTCAGGAAGCAGTTCAGAAGAAGTGACCACTGAAACAAGCCATTTATTGTCCTCACGTTTCAGATTCTGTCGAGGATCCTTAATCATAGGTAATGGTAGAAGAGTCTGAGTCATGCGCAGATAAGGGTGATACATGCACTGATTGCACAATATTTATAGTTCGTAGCGGTCATCGGCATACGTACTATAATTGTCAGTTCCTGTAGCCACCGCTTGAGGTCTTAATTGGTGCGGTGATGGCTCATTAATTACCACAGCGATCTTGTCCGCGTCGGATGCAGACTTGGTAATTGCGCGACAATTATGCCTGCTGTCATCCGAGTTGTTGCAGCGCCCGGCCCTTCCCGCGTGACTGATTCTCTTGCTCAGGAAATTTCTCAGTAAACCGTATGGGAACGCCAAATTGTTGCGCTTGTTGATGGAATAGGGGCTCAAGAACTATTGCTCGAGCAGCTCGTGGTTCACGCGGCTGTCACCTCTAGTAAGGATTTCGGCCTCATAAAACTTGAAAATATGGCCGGGTCCCGTCGAGTGAGCTGCAAACTGGGAGTTG